GCTATGTGCTTTACCACCTGTTTAAAAGAAAGTCAGGTACATGTTTCATCACCCATCTAAAACAAAATCATTTACAGGTTTTTATCACCTGTCTAAAACAAAGTCAGGTACATGTTTCATTACCTGCTTAAATCAAAATCAGGTACATGTTTTATCACCTGTCTAAAACAAAGTCAGGTACATGTTTTATCACCTGTCAGAAACACAGTCAGATACGTGCTTTATCACCTATCTAAAACAAAGTCAGGTACATGGACTGTGTTTCTGAAAGATGATGAAACATGTACCTGACTTTGTTTTAGATAGGTGATAAAACATGTACCTGACTTTGATTTAAGCAGGTGATGAAACATATACCTGACTTTGTTTTAGACAGGTGATAAAAACCTGTAAATGATTTTGTTTTAGACAGGTGATAAAGCAGGTACGTGCTTTATCACCTATGTAAAACAAAGTCAGGTGCATGTTTTATCACCTGTCTGAAACAAAGCCCTCATGTAGCTTTGCGCAAAATTTAAAAAATCAAAACAAACTCTCAAAGTTCCATGTATATTTTAAGGAATTCTCTCTCTCTCTGATTGTTTTTTTTTTTTGTATAGGTGATATGCTATCCTGACAGTACAGTGCACCAGTATCAGGAGCAGGTAGTGAAACTCGAACGAGAATATAAAGCTTTTGTAAGAAAAATTAAACAACTCAAGCCAGGACTTTCAACAATACCTTGGACTATGCGTGGGTATCAGGACAAAGTAGAATGTGAAGAAACTGGTGAGTGTAAGAAATACTGGTTAGAGATTGTTTTTTTTGAATCAGGAAATTTATAACTAATGTATACAAGGTATTGATGGAACATTTTTTTTACATATTTATATGAATGGTTTTATTTTGTATGTCACAAATTTGTTGATGAAAAACAAGTGTTATATTGGATAATATGTATATATCTTATTTAGATGAAAAAAAGAAATTGTAAAACTTCTAGAAGGAAAATTCAAGAACTGCAGACAAGATTTCACACAGCATCAGAACATTGAAATGTTGAATGCTTTTTGTTTTGCTAATGTTTTCTTCTATTAACATGAATAACCTTATTTAAACACAATTTGATCTTTGCTATAATGATCAAAATATGTTTCCATTGTTATTATTTAATAACTTCCCTATTATCACAATTACCGAGATATTTTTTACTTGTAACACGTCAGTGAAGCTGGAAATATCCATTGTCTGTGTCTCTCTATGTTACTGCCATGTGTAAGATGTCTACTACATGCAGTAAAGTACAGAGAACATTAAAATGGCAGAGATCAGTTGGCAAAAAGGGTATCTTCCAAGTATCATAAGGCAAACTTTTTTTGTGGTTGTTGGAAGGAGGTGTTAGGGGAGACTAGGTGTACTGTGGGTTACCTCTGGCATATGTAGTGGGGATATGTTAGAGGAGACTAGGGGGGGGACTATATGTTGCCTCCAGTACACATAAGGGGAGGTGTTACAGGAGATTACAGTGGCTGAGGGTTGTCTCTGGTACACATAGGGTAAAAAGCCATAATAAGCTTTCTTTCTTTCAGAAATCCGGGGGTTCGAAATGCATCATCTGTGGTTACTGGTGGGGATCCTATCACAAAGATGTATGTATCTGTGGTCCAACTGCCCTGGCCACCAACGTGGGGTATGGGTACCATGACCCCTTAAATCCAACCCGAGTTGTGGAACCTCAGCTGTTTGGTCGGGGCTGGACCATCATACTTGTATTATATTCTACCCTTTTGAATTTTCTGTAGTTCTGGGTGAAGAGCATACCTGTTCTGGATATAGTGCAGTGTTTCCCACTTTGATACCACTTCTCGTGGTGCATATTTGTTCTCTGCAGATGCTTTCTGTATGATCTCAGTCTTCACTGGCCCTTCCGCTTTCTCAATATGGGATTCTAACTATTAGTGTCAGTGGAAGTTATCATTTTTCTAAACTGAAAATGTATTTCCAAACATACTTACCTCTGCTGACACTCCCTTTCTTCCTCCCCACTAAGAGCTAGTGTTAGTGACCGGAATGTGGTAAGTCTTGAAAAAGTGATTTTATTGTCTGCATACAGTGCTTATATAAAGTACCTGCATAGAGGGCGTGTGAGGGCCAGCATAAAGTTTTGCAAATTAGATATTGCTGAGGGCATTCGAGTGGGGTATATAAAGACTGGAGCAAACGAACACAACGTTAGATGGCAAAGATAAAGATCGAGAAATAGCTATTAGTGTCAGTGGAGGTAAATATATTTGGAAATACATTTTCAGTTTCGGAAAATGATAACTTTCATAAGCAAAATATAAATTTTTTATTACGTCTTAAGGTTTCTAAAGCAATGTTTTTCTTATGCCTTTTTTTTCTTTTCACATGTTGCATATCTATCATGCAAAGTAATTTTTATTTTAAGATTAAAAATACTTTTATGCATCAGAAAATTTTTAAATTTCACATGCAAAATCTTTATAATTTGCAGATAGTTACCAAACGTTTTTTAAGAAAAACTTATCTGTTATTTTCAGTAATTAATGTCTGTACGGGTTTAATAGATTTGACAGATCTCGCTACCACCATAAAAATTAGAAAATAGTATAAATTATGCCTCTTTCATTCTACAATGAACACAAATTGTAACACGAAA